TATCAGGCCTTCCCTACACTGGTCGTCTCCTTGATTAAACACATGTTATCTGAGCAAAATGTGCACGCCTTTCTCGGGTCGCATGCGCCATCCCAAGTGGATTTCTAGTGCATTTTGGTCAGAACCCCTTATTTCTATGACGGTGTGCTTATCCGTCTGCCCAGCTCCTTAACTGCCAGGCCCCCAAAGTTGTACTGGTTCATTCAAATGGCCATCACTCACGGACAACGTCTTCGTTTAATTGCCGAATACCCCTGCATATCGAAATAAAGGGATTGGGGTAAATAGCAAGTGTGATGAAGCTACACCCGGTTTGCCACAAAAGGGCACACATTTTGATGATTGGAATGTAAAGAAGTGAGAAGTTGTGATAGAGCGGCAGTGGGATAAGAGGGTGAAGAGTAGATGGATAGGCCAGGACAGAAAGAGGAGTGATAGTGTAACCGTTTCCAGAAGAACAGTTGTCGAGGGATTGACTTCACTTGTCTCTTTGGCGAGTTCGTATCTTGGTGCGGAGAATGACAAGGCTCACTGATGATGTCGACTACGATGCCGGCGAAACGTTTGAGAATGTATCAAGTCCATTGTCTGATGCTGGGAATCATGAAAACTACTATGGCAGACAACTTCGGACTAGGTGAGCTCTAAATAGTCTCCCTGAAATCAAGAGCAAGTTGCGACAGCGAGGTCAACCCACTTTTATAAATCGAAAGGAGACTGCGACCATACCAGAGGCAACGCCAGCTTGGTCTTCATTTATTAAATTACGCATTTTTAATTAAAAATAATAAAACTTGATTTACTTGCTAAAATATGTATGTACAAATGAGAGTCTATTTATTAGATACCAACTTCAGCAAACAAGTTTTCATGCTTGATAATCCATAATATTAGCATAACTTAAGATGATTTACCTGTCTACCACAGATGACATAGTATTAGTTACTTAAATTGAGCACCTACACTCTAAGTGACAGAAAAAGGATTGGTTCGTTTTCGCTTTTCATATTATTCATAATTTTACGAAAATTTATAACAATATACCTCTATCTACGTCCTCCGCTTGCAAAGACGTGCGCTCCTTGAGGGTTTGTCTATTACTTAGTGCATCTTCGGACGCTTACACCGTACTGCAGTTTTCAGTAACAATGTCCAGTTAATCATCCTAAGAATGATTAAAGTGTGGTATAATGGTGGGCTTAACTTAAAACACAAAGAAATTCCAAAAATGGCATAAGTGAAGAAGACTGCTACGATTAGAAATATTCACTATCTTGAGCCAAATTTGTTTGATCTTTTAAGAATAGCTAAGTACTTTCAGTATCTCATGAACTAGACCAGAGAGATACAATTATTTGGTTTGTTTAAAAGGCTGAGATTATGAAATCTCCTTTAGGTGCAAGCTTGATCCTTTTGAACACGATATTAATTCAAGTATGAATTATTGGCACAAAATAAATGCAATGACTCGTATTTATCTAAATGTTAGACTATAACCAAAAAACCATTCTAAATCTCATCATCTCAAGTGTCGAGATTGATCTTTAGTCCAGCAATAACATATGTCTTTAATTCTCTTATCAACTTTAATCGATGCTTCAAAATCAATTGAATAATGTCAATTGTAGAGGTATGAATGCTACCGAATACTTTATATAAGTCCTTACAAAAGCCTAGGCCTGCGTATCTTCTAGACAAGAGTTCCCAAGGTTTATATGACTTTGAACTGAAACCAAAGTCAAAAAGTCAGGTCTTAGTTATTAAGAAATCGTCAATGCGGCATTCCATCATAATAGTAGATAATCATAAATCACTAATTTCATGTAATAAAAGCGTAAAAATGGAATAAAAATGACGTTCCCTACCCGCTAGTCAATTGGTCGCTGCTAAACATCAAAATCGCTTAGAGCAAAGCATCTAGTCTGAATTCCATAGTATGCCGTAAAATTGATACGTTCCAAGATGTCCACGGTCCGACTCTGGAAATTCTCATGCATACTGTGTTCTCCGGACTAGGTGCCTTCCTCTAGTTTATTTTGCCAACATGACCAAGTTGCATAAAAAAGGCCAAAAAACTACTATACGACGAAAGGAGATAGCGACTATACAAAATGCTACACCATCTTGGTCTTCATACCTTTGGTCAGAATCAATTTTTCGCTGTCTGAAATCTGGCTTCCTAACAGCCTTTAATTCCAGCCTTAGAGCAGAGGATGCCAATGCCTATGCAGGCGCTTGGGAATCTTCCTCTCCCTAGGCTTCAATACCATGACTCCGTTATCCTCTTTCTAATCCCACCTCACATTGTGTCTCATCTTTTGGAGCACTGTGCCCGGCTTAAGTCATAACCACTAGTGTGAAAATACACCGCTTCCCTGTTTTTCCTTGAATCGCCAAACGCACACTCCTCTCATCCTTCAAGTTGACACTCCCATCTACTTCTAGTGTACTACGATATTCATGTGTTTGTTGGCTGGTAACTCCGTGGTCAAGCATGTCACCAGTAACCCCTCCTTCATGTACAGACAGGAAAAATGCACACAAGCACTTACCCCTAATAACTTACATAACTCAATTCATTGATAGAAAATTGCTAATGTTATTTACTAATTTGCTTAATTTTATGTTGAATCCTACAGAGACTACTACTGGTAATGCCTCTTAAAGTTGATTAATATAACAGCTTTATCGACCGCTTTTAAGGATTTAAACATGTATGAAATTTATATGCTAGTTTTACCATGAGCAAGTTAAAAAAGAACGGACGTTATTTATTTCAAGATATTTTAGATTTGGATAAAACAGGAATAAATGTGTATGAGCGAATTCAAGAAGTTCTGAATGACATTCTCAAAATTTATACTTTTCCTTCCAGACTATTGGAAACATTTTTTAAAGAAGTTTGCGTCTGGCAAACAAAGAAGCAATTTCGATACATCATTAAACTTATCCTAGTGATTTCGTTGTTATCTTTCTTTCACGACGGGATTTTTCACGCAAGTATATCCTCTGCTTCTGCCGACAGTATCATTATAATAACTATATTTACATTACTTTATATGCGAACGTTTATAAGAATTTCGCCATCATGCTACCACTTTATGTTTCTTTTACTTATGACTATGTTGATAGTAAACATGAATTATAAATATCAGAGATCAATGTACATTGTAGGGATAGTGATAACTCTTACCTTTTATAGTATGGCATCCTTTCAACTTTCAACCTGCCTTTTATTCTCATTTTTTTATTTCTTTATATACATTTATGCAAACTCTAGGCCTAAATCTGTTACCCTATTGAGTGTGGATAACTCATCAAAATTTTGCACAGAAAAAGTTTTTGCACCACAGGCATGCACCAATCAGACTTGCTTCATTCGTTTTCTAATATATTTCTTTGTAGTATTAGTCGGAGTATATTTTCATCTAGCATCGCGTATTCGCATCCGAGCAGCTTTTCTTCACCTTGCCGATGGAGTCAAGGCACGATATGAGAGTAAACGTGCTTTAGCTGGGCAGCTGCGTTGGATTTCTGCTATTATGCCTACTGAGGTGCGCAATGAGTACTGGAGCGAGCGTCAAAAGTATCATGATTTGCAAGATTCAAAGATGTGGGTATATTGTAAGGTTTTTGACGATGTTTCAATTCTATTCGCAGATATAGTCGGCTTCACAAAAATGAGTTCAAATAAGACAGCTAACAAGGTAGTGCTATTGTTAAATGATCTTTTCAACCGATTTGACGACCTTTGTCAGAAGACTAAATGCGAGAAAATCGGTACTCTAGGAGATTGTTACTATTGCGTGGCTGGATGCCCTACACCAAGATCTGATCACGCTGTATGCTGTGTAGAAATGGGTTTAGGAATGTGCCGCATAATTAAACGCTTCAATTTAGATCACGGTGAGGAAGTAAATATGCGAGTTGGAATTCACACCGGCCGAGTTAACTCAGCAATAATTGGAA